TGCATGGTTGGTAGGGTGTTCAGGGTCCTTGGGAGTGTGTTCTGAATGGTTCTACACTGATTGCTAAGATACTATAGTTGTAAAGGTGTTGCTATGTGGTTGCTAAGGTGTTGCTAGGGTATTGTGTGTTGCTGTAAGGTGGTTGCTATGGTTTGTAGGCAAGTTGTAAGAGACTGATAGATAATTGCTTGTGTGTAGCTAGGTGATTGTTAGGCTGTTGTAGATATTTGTAATGGCAATGCTCTGTGGTTTCTAGGGTGTTGCTAGGGTGTCCTGGATCATTTCTAAGTGATTGCAAGAATGACTTGGATAGTTGCTTAGATTGTCTAGGTAGTTGAAATAGCATTGCAAGGGTGTTTCTAAGGCATTATAAGGTGATTACTAGGATGTTATGGATGAGTTGTTAGGTGGTTACTGTGGTGTTCTAGATCAGTGTTTCCCAACCGGGGTGCCGTCTGTCGATAGCAGGGGTGCCGTATAAAAAAATAATTTTTTTATATTTTTTAATTGCTTAAATGTTCAAAAAAGCATCTATTATATAATATCAATTTCTGATGTCACCAATAATTAGAGATGCACCGAAATTCCGGCTGCCGAAAATTAGTTCACCGCTCAGGTTTCACTTTCACATGGTGTGACGCTCTGCGTATTATCCCGCTCTATGCGTGTGTGCGCTCCGCTCAGTCGCTCCACTCGTATACCGTTCATGCTCATCGGAACAGCAAAGTCCACTCAAAAATTGAGCCGACAGGAAACATCGATGTAGTACAGTATTGCCACAAGTTTGTTAAAATTTCCAAAGGATGCCGCAACTAAAAAAAGGTTGGGAAACACTGTTCTAGATATTTGTATGGGTGTTGCTAAGTGGTTGCTCCGGGTGCTTGCTAGGGCATTGTTAGTTGATTGCTAGATTGTTCTGTTTGGTTGTAAGATGGTTGTTCTTAGGGTGTTCTAAATAGTAAAAAGGACATTACTTGGGTGTTCTAGGTGGTTGCTAGGGTGTTCTGGATAGTTGTAAAGGCATTGTAGGGTGTTACTATGGCGTTCTGGTGGGTTATAATGCAATTTCTAGATGGTTGCTGGGTGATTAGATGTAATTTGTACTAAGTCATGCTTACATTTAAAAAAAAATGACAATGGACCAGTTGTTTTGGATTTTAAACAAAATAAATTCAAAGAACAGTGGGTGTGTTTAGGAATGATCTCAGTGACAAGCAGTTTCAAGAGTGTTGTGCGTCAGACTAACAAACCAGCCTAATCACTTCCAGGTTTGTTGGGCGTTCAGACAACTGGCATCCAAAGACAAAGCATCAGTGAGTTCTCTCATACCTGCAGAGCATCTGAATCTCTGAAACGGTGAATCAAACAAGCATCTTTCCATTTCCTGGTTTATTACGGTCCTGATGACCTGAGGCTATCATGTGGACATGTTCTCATCCTCTGCCAGTGTAAACCAGCCAGAGACTATGTGCATTCCTGCACAGTTCAGATCATCCTCTCAAAATGAACACTCCAAGGCCGCAGTAATGTTGTAGAGCCACTTGCACAAGGAAAGCCCGGGGGAGGATTCTGAACCCTGTTTCTGGGCTCTTGAAGGCACGCCCAAATTAAATAACACTGGATTGGTTTAGCTGCTAAACCAGCATGCTTTGCAAACAGTGCTCCGGCATGTTGTTTAATCTGCTATAAGCACGTAGTATTATTAGGTGACTTTGTAAATGTCTTCTTTGGCTAGCAGTGAGGATGCTGTATATGGTTTGTGCTGACTATATTAATTTCCTTACAGCGTGCACATGACTGTCCTGGGGCAAATATCCATGTGTTTAAGTGCAGAGGATGGTACTGGATTCTAAGTGCAGCCCATAGGTTTACAGACAGATATTGAAGAAATAAATTGACTAGATAACTATATCCTTTAAATTCGGCATGAAATGAAAATTCATCATATCTATTTTCTAAATGCATGTTATTGACTACATTGTGAAAAACTGATCCTGATGAACTGATTTTCATATTTTTTTAATCAAAATGTCGTAACTCGACTGATAGCTAGAACAAAGTCCCACCCTGTGTTTTTTTACCACCTTGCATCCATTTCATTCTGATAATAAATAAAAATCCATTTCATTCTGAATAAAAAAAATCTGGCACTACTTCTGTTTCATTGTGCTTTTAACAATCATAATCCTCAGAAAAACTGAGGCCTAATCTGCCCTCCGCAGGCAAAATCCAGTAACTACACTAACTTTTTGAGTTGTTTTTCATAAATTTTTTAAATATTTCATTAACTCTATTTTTTATCGAATCATTTTTAAATGATTTAAGGTTCCATTTGGAACTATAAATAATTCCATTGGTTAACCGTATTAGTTAACGTGAACTAACAATGAAAATACTTCTAAAGCTTTTTTTTTTTATCTTAGTTAATGCTATTCTCAGTATTTAGTAATATATTAATAAATCAAAAGTTGTATCTGTTAATATGATTTAATAGACCTCAGCCAACATGAACAGCTTTTAAAAACTCAGATGTATTGCTCATTTTTGTTAATATTAGTTAATGCATTAAGTAATGAGACCTTACTGTAAAGTGTTACAGTCAAAAGACAGAAGACAAAATTTGAGTTGATCCCTCACATGTAATGAAAGTGGAAGGGGACCAAGAGCTGTAAAGCTCTAAAATGAACAAAAACAACTATAAAAGTATCACAAAAATGTTTTATTTAATTGTATGTTATATTCCAAGTCTTCTAAAGCCATACAATACCTTGATGTTGAGTAACATACTAAAAATGAAGTCATTATTCATCATGACAGCCATGTCACCATTCACTTTGATTATATGGAAAAGAACAGCTGCTGTAAGTTGTGCTCCTCAGGAATAAGAAAATCATATGCAAGTTTCAAAAGACATAGGGATGAGTAAATAATAACCACATTTAAATTTGATGTTAACCAGCTGTCTGCATGTCTTATAAATATTCCCGTGTCCTCCTACACTCCTGGATTCTGTGTCCACCATGGCACTGTACAGCAGACACCTAGAGGATCTGTTTTAATAGTGCAGCTATTTCAGTGTCAGTGTGTGTTCAGCGCAGTGTGAGATGTATATCTCTGTGTCATGTGACTCTGCGGCGTGTGTCGTGTCTTCAGTGACCTTTGAGGAAGCATGCAGGAACTAGGATGCTCTTTCAGATCGTGACCCTTTTTTAGATATGTAGGGTCTTTATCTAGGGTCGGGGCAGTCGTGGCCTAATGGTTAGAGAGTCGGGCTTGTAACCCAAAGGTTGCGGGTTCGAATCTCAGGTCCAGCAGGGATTGTAGGTGGGGGGAGTGAATAACCAGCGCTCTCTCCACCTTCAATACCACGACTGAGGTGAGACCCTTGAGCAAGGTGCCGAACCCCCAACTGCTGCCCACTGCCCCGGGTGTGTGTTCACTACTCACTGCTGTGTGTGTGCACTTGGATGGGTTAAATGCAGAGCACAAATTCCGAGAATGGGTCACCATACTTGGCCACAAGTCATTTCCTTTCCTTTTTATAGTTAATTCTCCCAAAAAGTGTAAACACTGTGTCTCTGTGGTGCTATCAACAAATCAATCACATTTTTATTATTATTCTTTTAAATTTTTTAAATTTTTTTAAAATATTGTATTTTATTTATTTACTTATTTTTAGTAATTATTCGTGTTTATTTATTCATTCATTATTAGTTAAATATTATTTTAATCGTCTATTTGTTTGTTTATTATTTATTCATTAATATTTATTTATAGTAATTATTAGCAGTCATTCATTTTTGTTATGTATTATTTTAATGATTTGTTTGTTCATTTGTTTATTTTTATTTAATATGTATTTATTCAATCATAGTTGTTTGTTTGTTAGAGGAATTATTAGTATTTTGTTTATTCATTCATTTATTAGTTATATATGATTATTAGTTATGTACTCTTTTAATGGTCTGTTTGTTTGTTTATTAGTTATTTATTCATTCATTCATTCATTCATTCATAGGTATTAATTTGAGTAATTATTAATATCCATTCATTCATTCTTAGTTATGTATTCTTTTAATTATTTGTTTGTTTATTTATTAATACATTTTTATTTATTATTTACTTATTAATTCATAGGTATTTATTTATGCATTTAATTGTTTATTTATTCATGTATTTTAGGAATTATTAGCATTCATTCATTCATTCAGTCAGTCATATATGCATTTTTAGCTATGTATTCTTTTAGTTGTTTGTTTGTTTATTTGTATTTATTATTTATTAATTCATAGTTGTTTATTTATTTTTAGTAATTATTAGTATTCATTCATTCAGTTATGTATTCTTTTAATTATCTATTTGTTTGTTTGTTTGTTTATTCATTCATAGTTTTTAATTTATTTATTTTAGGAATTATTAGTATTCATTCATTCATTCATTCATTCATTCATAATTAGCCATGTATTCTTTTTAATTGTCTGTTTATTTATTAGCTATTCATTCATAGGTATTTATTTTAATAATTCTTAGTATTCATTCATTCATTCTTAGTTATGGATTATTTTAATTATATGTTTGTTTGTTTGTTTGTTTGTTTGTTTATTCATTCATACTTATTAATTTATGCATTTAATTGTTTATTGTAGGAATTATTAGTATTTATTTATTTATTCATACATTTTTAGCTACGTATTCTTTTAGTTGTTTGTTTATTTGCATTTATTATTTATTTATTCATTCATAGTTATTTATTTAATTGTTATATATTATTAATTAGGCTATCATAATTGTATTTTTTATTAATTCACTTATGTATTCTTTTAGTTATTTATTTATTTGTTTGTTTATTAATGCTGGTGGTACAGATATTACACAGTTCAGCTTTAATTGCTTAAATGAAGGACTTTTAACTGCGTTATTTACATCTAAATTATATTGATAAATAAAAGAGAGCTAATTCCATTTGAAGTGACGTTATTTATTATTAATCTGCTCAACAGGAGGGGACCAAGGCATTCTGAACGACTTCTTCAGCGACTGGGCAACAGCCGACATCAACAAACACCTTCCTTTCATCTATAACATGAGCAGCATAGCCATCTACACGTACCTTCCTGCGTTTAAACAGTGAGTGTGACTCTGACTCCAGCAGCGTGCGCTGGCCAGTAACAGGATACACACACGAGTCACATGAAGGCTGCTCATGCCGTAACATCGGGTTACACGAGCTGAGGAAGAAGAGTGTGAGACAAAATCATCCGAGGAGACACTCGCGCTAATTTCATAAGGCTTCCGGTAATAGTGTGCATGGTGTTCTCACTTCAGGTTTACACCACGCTGTGTAGATTATAACTCACAGAAAATGTCAGAGCAGATTTTCAGTCGGGATTTTAACCAGTTAAATCCTGAAGTATGACTTGCAATGAACACATTTGAAATGCATTCACATACCTTATGTCGCCTGCTATTTTTCAGGAATGCATGCTGAAAATGTCTTTCGGTCCACAGATATGGTGCAAATGCGAAGGTTGTGCACTTCCTGGGCCAGATGAAGCCGTGGAGCTACACGTATAACCCCACGCAGAGGAGAGTGAGAGGATCGTCTCAGCCCGGCCTCCTGCTGCAGTGGTGGGCTCTGTACAGCGCCGAGGTGCTGCCCATGCTGATCCGAGAGTATGGAGACCAGCCCTTCAACTCCGGCTGTGAGGTCAGGCCTAAACATACAGAACAAGAAAATAACCATGTCCATGAGTCTACATGGCATACTTGCACTACATGCCAAGCATTGTTAACTTTAATAAGATACATTATTCACACACACACAAAAATCTTGCATTTGCATGTTAGCGTCTACAGTAGCAAAAGCCACAACAATATTCAGTGACATTGTGATTTTACAGTTATTTGTGATTTACTGAAAAAAAAAAAATACAATTAATTAATCTATTAAAAAAAAAAACGAATCACAATTTCTGCCTGATATTTTATTAGAGCTTGGAATAACTGTTATTTATTTAAAATACATTTATTTCTTTTATTTGAAATTTTATAATGTTATTTATTTGATATATTTATTATGTATTTACATGAATTTTACATAAATCACACTTTTAAAACTAGTTTCTCTCATATATCCAGATTCTGAGTTTTAAATATATTTATATATTTGCTAAACTTAAATGACTTTTCCGTTTCTAGAAATCAGACTTTTAAAACTGGTTCATCTAATTTTTTCAAGTTTTATAAAATAAAGATAATAATAATGATGATGATGATGATGATGATGATAATACTCATTATCAATAGTAATCATAATAATTACTTTATCTACTTTCATCTCAATGAGTTTTGGTAGAGCTTGACATGACTATAAAAATTAAAATTCATTTTAAATATCAGTTTTATATATTTATATTTAAAAAAAACATCTTCCACAGCAATAGTTAAACACTCCATGACCTTTGCATTTGTCTGAGATTTATAACAAAAAAAACAAAAAAAAGTTTTTTTGAGCTTGACATAATTTGAAAAATGTCATTTTACATATGTATTTTATTTAATTTATATATTTATTATTAATTCACACATTTTTTCCAGGTCTAGAAATGACACAAAATTAGTCAACCTCATACAATATATCCATGTTTTTCAAGACTCCTGTTTTTTTTTTTCAAACTGCACAGAACTGAAAGATGACTGAATGTCATGTTTGTAATCAGCTGTATTGTTCTCTCGTTCACAGGAGGATGCTGCGGAGAGCGAGGAGCGTGTTCAGCCGCTCGTGTCCTCAGCGGAGCGCAAGCAGAGGTGGGAGCAGGGCCAGGCCGACTACATGGGAATAGACTCTTTTGACAACATTCAGAAAAAGCTTGACGTTTTCCTGAAATAAAAAGAACACAGAAGTTTGAGAGGGTATTCAGCTATGCAAGACTGTCACACTGTGGCCCGCTAACACGTCACACTCTTTGTCTTCTTCATTCAAGCATTTAATGCTAACTTTACCTTTGAACCTCATGCAAAACGTGAAGTCTGGCAGTGCATGGCAATTTTAATAGATAAAGGCAGTTGTGGGCCAGCTTTCTCTATCACTTGCTCAAAGTTTCCATGTTTGGAATGCACTTTCAGTCATTTTTCTGGACTTATACTGACACCTAGAGGTGTGGATTCCCGAACATACAATATGCCAATGTACAAATGCTCAATTTATAGTGATAAATATATGTGACCCTGGACCACAAAACCAGTTTTAAGTCGCTGGGGTATATTTGTAGCAATAGCCAAAAATACATTGTATGGGTCAAAATTATAAATTTTTCTTTTATGCCAAAAATCATTAGGATATTAAGTAAAGATCATGTTCCATGAAGATATTTTGTAAATTTCCTACTGTAAATATATCAAAACTTAATTTTTGATTAGTAATATGCATTGCTAAGAACTTAATTTGGACAACTTTAAAGATGATTTTTTTGCACCCTCAGATTCCAGATTTTCAAATAGTTGTATCTCGACCAAATATTGTCCTATCCACACATCAATGGAAAGCTTATTTATTCAGCTTTCAGATGATGTATAGATCTCAATTTTGAAAAATTGACACTTAAGGTCCAGGGTCACACATACAAAAGTCCAGTATTGGGGTTGCTGAGTAACCCCGCTACTACTGTTAGTATTGAGGAGACATGTTCAATGTACATAAAACAGCTTTTATGAGTCTACTGGTGTAACTGGATTGAGTTTTATCTCACATGTACATGATTTTAAACATTTGAACAGTCATTTTCATTTCTTTAGAGATGACTGCTTTTTTACGGAGGAAAAAAAGAACATGCACCTTTAACTAGAGCACATCATGTTGCCAATCCTAGCACTTTTAAATCAAATATTCGTACTTTTTCATCAAGAAAATCAAACTCCGAATATGTGGTTATATTTCTTCCCCTGTTGTTGATTCTTGACTTTTGAAAGGCTTCATGCTCTTGAATGTTGGTCTGGTTGATCTTCTGTTCACATGCTGGATTGTGTGTTTGTGTTCTCTGGTTTACAGCTGCTGTTACGGTCTTCTCACTGCAGTCTATGGTCACATATCTTCCTTTTTATATCTTTGCGTTTTTCTTTTGTCTTTTTGTATCTCTGTTTTCTTTTATTCCGTGTTATAGGGCCATTGTCCCCTCTGGCTTCAAAATAAAACTTTCAAAATGATTATGTGTGAAATGTATTCTTTTTTTTAATGTTGTATTAATGTAATAATTAACTGTAATAGATAATACATAAAATAATATTTGAGAAATAGAAACATTTAGACAATATTTGTGGAAAGATTTCATACAACAGTAACATTACGAAAAAGAAAATAAAAATCAGGAAATTATGAATTTATAAATTGTTACGACACCCTCTGGTTGTTGGTGGAACGGCATCTTTACATGAATTATTTTAGTGTTTGTATTTATGAAATATTCTTATTTTCATGTAGTTAATTATTTTATAGGCATTTATAGGTGTTTTTAATAACAGAAACAGCAAGTGTCACCTAGCGGTATAGTCGTTGCTGTTTCTACTGTACAATAACAAATACATTCGTAGGCTATAATGAGATTACACTCCTTGTTTTCAAATCATATGATTTTTAAAACTACTGTTACAGTTTTTCCATAAAGTTGTGTTTATATTACGGTTATATATAAATACTTATATAATTTATTTATAAATATTATATAATAGATTTATATTTTACATTTATATTAATAAAAACATATATTGACAAAAATATATAAGTATAATAATAAAATTTATATTAATAAAAGATTAAATTATATAATTTATTTAACAATATATACTATTTCAGACGGAACCTTTTTTTTATGATTATTTTTCTTTTAATTACATTTCAAATGACCCATTACAAATATCCTAACACATTTTTTAAGGTAACAATGATTATCATTAAATTAATAGATACGAATAACCTGTTGGCTATTGTTTTGTAGCCGATTATTGACTGATTGGCTGATGGAAGTGGACTGTTGCTCTGGCTCTTGGCTCCGCCCCTCAAGTGCATTCGCTGTTTTTAATAGGTAAATGTCCTGTAATTTGCGTATATTTGCATAATTCATGAGCCGTGGTTCTATGGCCCCGCCTCCGCCAGAGTTGTCAACAGTCAGTTCAAGATGGCTGCGCTGTCGATGGTGAGGGTCGCGCTGCTCCTCGCGTTTTCGGTGTTTCTGACGCTCGTCCTGGGCTTCGGCTTGCCGTCTGTGCTCAACCTCTTCGCGCGATGCTGCGGCTTCCCGGAGGCGAGCGTCACCGAGAGCATAGTGCTGCTGTACGCGCTGTTCGTGCTGTATGTGGCCCTGCCGCGTCTGCCTCGCGGGACAGTGAAGGTAACGGTACAGTGAGCAACTTACACATCAACCAAAACAAACGGCATTTCATGTGGCGTATAACGTTACGATATTATATGAGATTTTATTGTCGGGCTGAAAATCAGTTTTTCACTCACATAAACATTGCACATTATATCTTACTCTCAAACACTATGTTACAATCCTACAGCACCTTAAGTTAGTGTTCTTTTGATTAAGTGTCTTATTCAATTACATCATGCACAAAAAAAGTGTATTTGTCCATTTTATTGAATTCTGTAAACTTGTACCTCCAGTTTGGTTGTAATGCAAGTTCATTGTGCAGGACATAACGTTATGTATTATTACCATGCAATAAGTGGTACATTATGCAATGTGTGCATGTATGAGTGAGTGCGTGCAATGAAATATATTAATAATTAACTATAAGGCAAAGATAGTTAATTATTAATATATTTCAACGTATTACTCATCTTTTCTAAAAACATCTGTTTTGTTTGGCTTACAAATAATTTTCTATTATGGTCTTTGCTTAGTCTTTTATGGGTTTATACTTCGTTTCTCTTGTGTTATTAATATATTTACTTATTTTATTATTAAGGCGAGACCCTGTTTAATTGTGTAGCTGTGCAGATTTTTATATTCTTTTTACTATTTTGAATTTCTGTACAGCACTTTGGTCAGCCGTGTGGCTGTTTTATACGTGCTATATAAATAAACTGAAACTTGAAACTTGAAGTTATATAGAGTCCTAGTGATGAGTGATATCAATTTCTGTGCTTTTTTGCATTTATTTTTATATATGTTTTTAATAATGCACATTTATTGTAATATTACCATTATTATTACCATAAAACCGGAGGTACAAGGTTCCAAGATTACATATATCCAATGTATCTGTGGTATAAATGGTGCATGATGCAATGTGTATGTGTACCACGAAATATATAAATAATTATTTTTGCCTTATATGGGGGCAAAGATAATTATAGAGCCCTAGTGATGAATGATATTAATTTATTTAGATAGATAGATAGATAAATGCAATGCATTTTGTATTTCAGTGCTCATGGACTTGCATTGTCATGAAAAGTGTAGACATCAGAATTTTATAGGTTGCGAATTTATGGAAATTAATGACATACTTAAAAGTACCAGGAAATGTAGTGCTTTTTTAATTCTAATTTTTTCAATCCGTTAGAAATTGGTCCCAGTGCATGCAATTTCTATTTTTGTATTATTGTAAATACTTTATATTTATTTTATTGAAATACTAACTATAATAAATAATAAATCTAAACGAGGTGATTGTTGAGCTGCAGTTTATTGGTTATTGTTTGTTTATTTGGATCCCCATTAGTCTTACAAATAAATAAAAAATAACAATTTCACATCACAAAACTATACATCTCCAAATTGCAGCTGACCAAATGCCGACAGAAACTAACTTTTCCATATATATTTATTATATATTGTTTTTTATTAACCATTATAGTTTAATTTAGCTTATTTATTTTTTAAATTAATGCTGATTCTTGCATCAATTACTTATTAATTGGTTTCAAATCACAGTTTGAAAACCACTGATTTCGTAACACATTTTAGGAATTGCAGCTCAGTTGAGGACCGTTTTCTTCTTCTTCTTCGCAGGCCAGTGAATTGTTGGCACATTCGCTTGCAGTTGCACAGTAGTAATATTGCATAATGTTTCCTTTGTAGGTTGCAGGGAAAGCTGTGCTCGTTACCGGCTGTGACACTGGATTTGGATTGGCTTTGGCCAAGCACTTTCACAAGCTTGGTTTCACAGTGTTTGCAGGTTGTCTGTTTAAGGTAATGGTTCAACTATTCCTGCAGTTGATTTCTAAACATATATACTGTTGGTCGGAAGTCAATGGAGCTTTAGATGATGCAATATATTGCACAAGATTCAGTTGGGCTTGTCAAACCTTTTCATAATTCTAGAACTATGACCAAATGATCATATCACGGTTATTTATATATTATGATATAGTTCTTTGTGGCTGGAAAGTCAGTCTTGAAGTTGTACTACATTTTTTGATAATAGAGAATAAACTAAACTCAGGTTAGGGCTAACCCTAACCCATTCAAGTATACAGTGCAAATGCCTCTGTGTGTGCGCGGAGTGTGTGATGTTATGGCGGTTTACTCCGTGTGTTTCGTGTGGTTGAAGGACGGAGAAGGTGCAAAGGAGCTGGAGAGCCTTCATTCAGAGAAGCTGAAGGTGGTGCAGCTGGACGTCTGCAGCGAGGAGCAGGTCTCTCAGGCGGTTCAGTTTGTGACCGCTAACCTGGACGAGCCAGAGAAAGGTGAGGGCTGTCTGTCAGTTTGTAGAGGCTCATACAGGATGGGGAGTTCAAAGGTCATTCAGGAAGACCAGACAACCATGATGGAAAATGAGGACATTTCAGTGCAGAGTGATTTTAGTATTTATACACTGTTAAAAGAAACACTCCACTATTTTTGAAAATAGGCTCCTTTTCCAACTCCCCTAGAGTTAAACCGTTTAGTTTTACCGTTTTCTAATCCATTCAGCCGATCTCCGGGTCTGGCGGTAGCACTTTTAGCTGTAGCTTAGCATAGATCATTCATCGCGTTTTGAGGGGGTCCCCCGTTAAAAGTCGCATTCCGAGGATAAAATACGCATGTTTTGGCGGGGTTCCCTCAGCCAAGAATTACAACTGACCAAAAAAAAAATAATAAACTTTTTCTGACGGACTGATATGACAAACACGGTTAACCATACATTTGTACATTCTCTAACACACATATTTTGGTTACACAGTTAATTTAAAAATAGTAAATACCATTATGTCCTCCTGTTTTTTACAGTAATAAAAGTTATAGGAGCATTAAATAGTTAAAGAAATCATTTTGAACAAAATGAACAAA